GATCAATTTCCCATGTGTGTGGGTGCACACACATGTTTGTGTGTTACCGTGTGTGTGATGTTCAAGTTCAATAAATAAGGTAGTACTTGGACATAAGTTGTGATTGGTTTTTTCCAATTACCAAACTCAAATTTAATTATTAACATAATTTAATACTTAATGAAACTAGCTAATTATTCTCACATAAAACACCAAATTTAATTCACTGTTCATCCACTCACATAATTTTAACTATTTATTACTTTTAATCACTCATCTCTTAATTTACATCAAATCAACTTTTATCATTTATTTTAAATATCATTTTAATACGAACTGAAAATCTACTCAAACCTAAACCAACCAATTTTTTCAAAATTAGCTCCGATTAATAAAAAAAAAAAAAAAAACTAATTAAAACTTATATNATAAAAAAAAAAAAAAAAACTAATTAAAACTTATATATCCAATCTAAAACTTACAGAAATGCTAAGGAGCCAAGTGTTGGCTCCTTAGCATTACTACTAAAACTTATATACAAGCACACCCTAAGGTTGCCATCTTGAACTTATTAGGTTTGACCCTTTTGAGCCCACTGTTGAGCAGTTGAGGTGATTGCTTGATTTGTCTTGTTCTCAATTCTTAATTGAACTCTATTATTCTCAAGGTGATAAAATAAAACTCATTTTGGTGTCAGTTTCCATAATAATAAATGCAAGTAAATATATGACGTACATCACATCTCATCCTTGAAAATGACAAATTCTTGATTGTGTGGAGGAAAGAAAACTCTATTAAATTTCATGAGAAAAGAAGTGTTAGAGAGGCTCCAAGTGTAGCAGCAGCATGCAAGTCCTGCCACATGACGCACATTGTTGCTATCCAAATTAAAATTTTGAGCTGCGCACTTGATTTTTGTGGAACTGTACACAAATCGAATTCGTACACATTCAATGATTTAAATTTGAATAAAAATAATTATATATATGTCATTACTTACTCCCAATGTGTACGAATTTGATTTGAAAAAATTATATTACCATTCAGTAAGTCTTCTGTTAGGCTGTCTTAATTCATACTTTTACAACGAATATGTATATACTTTCACATTAAAATGTCATATTGTAAAATACAATATAGTAAAAGTATGATATTTCATAATATTTTTATGCATTCTTTGTAAAAAAAGTATAAACACATAACAATTAGTATGCGAATGAAAATTATAATTTAATTAAGGTTGTTAAATGTAGAATCAACCTTTAGACAAAGATGCTCTTGTACATTTCCATACTAAAGTATCATTTTTATAAAAACAAAAAATCTATAAATAAAAGTACGACATTTTATAATATAAATATTCAACTTTTTTTTCAAAAAAGCTTGACAAATGAATTAACTACGGTATTGGTCAATGGAAATAAAGAATAATCAAATTAAAATATTTATTGTGTATTGGGACTATAATCAATTAATTAGAATTTATTGTGTGTTAGAAATCGGTATGTATGCATATTGCATAAATTATAATGAGGGAGTAAAGCAATAGATAGACTGATTGTAAGAAGACTAAGACGTGAGAGACACGTAATCTCCAAACTCTCTGCATGTAAGAGAGAGAGAGAGAGAGAGAGAGAGAGAGAGAGAGAGAGAGAGAGAGAGAGAGAGAGAGAGAGAGAGAGAGAGAGAGAGAGAGAAGATTGCTGATTGCCAGTTGTTTGTCTTAAGCTCACCTCATGAAGAAGTTAGCTCAGTTAGTGACACAGAGAAAAGCACAAGACAATACTTGACTTAAAGGGAATGACTTGTTGGGTTATATCATACACCGTACATGGCCTTATTTTCTTTTTATTTTTATATTAATTTATTTTATTTAAGGTTTACTTTTCATCCTATTTTTCTTGTGGGCTGTTGTTTTTTCCCTTTTCTTGCATATTTCCACAACCACTAGAAAATGGGAAACAAAGACAGTGACATAAATATTATGGATATAAATTGAGGGGCAGAAAATGATCTTTGTCAAGTTGATTTATGTATTGGGATTTGGGAAGGTAACTGGCATTTACACCACCACATGAGTGCATTGATGACATGACTAAGCATTATTTATGAATCACACATGATCTCACACTCACAGGTATCCAAATAAGACTGTTCAATCAAAAGTCACTTATTGGATCTCTAATTAATACTTCTAGGTTGGAGTTGGAAAAAACAAAAAACATAACATAAACTATATATGCACACACAATTTGTCATAGAGAGGGTAATATTGCAATTTTAAAATCCTAATAAAATAATTAATAAAAATAATACTTTGAAGAAGCAATAATCAGAGCCCGGTTAATTACTTTACCGCTTAGAATTGAATTAGTGTTGCTTGGGGTATTTGTTCAGCATAATCATAAAGAGTTCGATTCGAGTCAATTTCATGCGACTGATCAGTCAGTTATGTCCAACTAAGCATCCTATTTTAGTTTATTTATCGTACACACCAAACCTTTCACACACACGGACTTATTAGGCTTTTTCCATATTAGTGTTATTTCATAACAAATGTGATTTTAAACTTAACTTACACCAAAAAAACTTGTCCACCAAGGACAAAATAAGCATAAATAGTATAATCCAATTTTTCCATCTACAATAGTGTGCTATCAAGAATTTAGAAGTGGAATAAAGAAAAAAAAAATAATAAAAAAAATCAGATTCTCTTATATGCTGATATGAAGTCCATCCTATACATTGCAACTACAGTCAAAATTATACATGGTGCATGCTGTGTCATATATGTGGAGGTATTTGTGAAATTACAAGACTACATATATTAAAAGAGCCCTTCAACATAGAACTGACAATGGATTATCAGCTATAATAACAAGTAACCACAAAGAGAAAGAAGTAGTATAACGCATGACCAGCAAACATGAGTTTAATTCTAACTCATAGCTTATTATTACCAGTTTCAAGCCTAAATGAAGACACATAAGGTATAAGATAAATGTAATTTCCTTTTTTTTTCCCTGTCTTATGTCCAGTGTTTACAGTAAGCGCATTTTAACTACTATTCAATTAGTAATAACAGAGTGTACTAATAATTGCAGTAAACCAAGGCCTGGCAACTCTAGCTTTTTTCGGCGTGGGCGTGAACTTAGTCCTGTTCTTGACGAGAGTCCTTCAACAAGATAATGCCGATGCTGCAAACAGCGTTAGCAAGTGGACGGGCACAGTCTACATATGCTCTCTCGTCGGGGCTTTCCTCAGCGACTCTTACTGGGGACGATACAAAACCTGCGCCATCTTCCAGCTCATCTTTGTCATCGTAAGCACACACGCAAACAAACAAACGGACATAAATTAAATAAATTAACTAATAAAAATAAAAATAAAAAAATTGCAGGGCCTTGTTCTGCTGTCCGCATCCACGCAGTTCTTGTTGATCAAGCCGAAAGGGTGTGGGGACGAGTTGAGCAATTGCGGGGCCCACTCGAGCTGGGAATTGGGCCTATTTTACATCTCTATATACATGGTGGCCTTAGGAAATGGGGGCTACCAGCCCAATATTGCCACGTTTGGGGCCGACCAGTTTGACGTGGAGGACTCAAGAGAAGGCCACTCAAAAGTCGCCTTCTTCAGCTACTTCTACCTTGCCCTCAACCTCGGCTCCCTCTTCTCCAACACCATATTAGGCTACTTCGAGGATGGTGGCATGTGGGCCCTCGGCTTCTGGGCCTCCACGGCCTCCGCCTTATTGGGCCTACTCCTCTTCCTTGGAGGCACCGAGAGGTATAGACACTTCAGGCCCAACGGGAACCCTTTGTCCCGTTTCGGCCAAGTCATCGTTGCGGCTTCAAGGAAGTGGGGCCTCAAAGTCCCACCGCGCAGTGAAGGAGAAGAAAAAAATTATGATAATAATAATAATAATAATAATAATAATAATAATAATAGTAACGGTTTGTACGAAGCCGATCAAGGAACGACGGCGGCGAACAAATCCGATACCGGCATTCGGAAGATGCTTCACACTCATGGGTTCAAGTAAGTAGAATCGTGATAATTNNNCATCATAATTGTCTGATTCAACTCATCCTATGCAGGTTTTTAGACCGCGCGGCGCTCGTGACCCCGCCAGACGCCGAGCGTCTGAGGGCGAACGGCAGTCGGGACCCGTGGCGACTCTGCCCCGTCTCTCAAGTGGAAGAAGTCAAGTGCATTCTCCGACTGCTCCCCATTTGGCTATGCACGATAATCTACTCGGTCGTTTTCACCCAAATGGCCTCGCTTTTCGTCGAGCAAGGGGACGCCATGCGGACGAGCGTTTCTAACTTTAGGATACCCGCCGCCAGCATGTCGAGCTTCGATATCCTCAGCGTTGCCGCCTTCATCTTCTTGTACCGCCGCGTAATCGACCCATTGGCCCGTCGGTTCAACCCGGGCCGAGTCGGGCTCACCGAGCTCCAGCGGATGGGGATCGGGCTCGTTATAGCCATCTTAGCCATGGTATCAGCTGGGGTTGTGGAGATCTACCGACTAAAGTACGCGCGAAAAGACTGCAGGCATTGCCAGGGGTCGAGCTCGCTGAGTATCTTCTGGCAAGTGCCGCAGTATGCCTTAATAGGGGCGTCTGAGGTGTTTATGTACGTCGGGCAGCTCGAGTTTTTCAATGCGCAGGCGCCGGACGGGCTCAAGAGCTTCGGGAGTGCGCTATGCATGACATCGATATCGCTCGGGAATTACGTCAGCAGCTTGCTGGTGTCGATCGTGATGAAGATATCTACTGTGGATAATATGCCAGGGTGGATTCCTGGGAATCTGAATAAGGGACACCTGGACAGGTTTTATTTTTTGCTGGCAGGGCTTACGGCTGTGGATTTGATTGTGTACATCGGGTGCGCCGTATGGTACAAGGGGATTAAGCGCGGAGGGAGGAATGGGGAGGATGAGGATATGGGGTATGGAGTGTGATGACATGGAATACTATATTACTATGTACAACGAGGATGAATATTTGATGCATCCGGAGTGTGTGCCTGGAGGAAGTTAATATTATTATTCTTCACCTCAGAAAGTAAGGTTGTAAAATGTGTGGGGATAGTGAACTAGTCAGAGTGAGGTTTCGGTTTAACAAACTCACATTAGAGATCGATCTCTCGATCATGGTTTGTTGGTTTCTACAGGTGAATCGTCTTATGTGAAATGTACTTGTACTTCCCTCCAAATCCATGTATGTACTAGATAATATATTATCTAACAAATTTAGTTTTCGATTCCAATGTTTCACTTATACTCCACCTTCTCAAATAAATCAATGGATTCGAGAAATGGAAATGACAAGGTAAAACCACCTAAGCCTCAGGCAACAGATATCCAACACATTCGATTCTTGTTTATGAGCTAATATATTGAAGAAGTCATGCTTGATACAACTTTTAAGGAAGAAACTCAATAGAGAGTATGAAATATTTTGAGCTCATGTAAGTTAATTCGCAGTAGCTCGGAAGCTATCGGGTCCTGCTGATGACAAAAAGAAATGAAAAATGTGCTGCACGAAGTTTCCAGGAATATTATGAGTTCTCTAAAGAACAGTAGGATTAAGAGAATAGTGAAAAGATGGTTTGCAAGTGCAAATAACATCAAATGTGGGCTAATAACAGAATCACATTTGACATATACTAGCAGTTTTCCATAGTGTTTATATGGTCAAAAAGGCAAAAAAGCAAATAGAAGAAAACAACTTACATTTTCTTTCTACAGTTAATTTTCGAATTTCTAAATCTTGCATGTCTATATTAGCATCTAATCTTCAACTATAAGACAATGTATCATGCTTTCACTTGTGCCCAAAGCAACTACAAAGGAAATTTTACCAACTAGAACAAAATACCCTGCATTGAGTTTATATGCTGATTTGTTTCTCCCTCTTTTACTTCTAAGCATTGTAAGACTATATTCAACTATCTAGAGTGTACCTCAAAAAATTAATCCAAAACAATGGAGGTTGGCTCTGACCCCTTAAATCTCAAACTAAGAACACATGAACAGATTTTTGTATTCGAAATAAATGCAAATTCAATCTATCAGATTCAATAATACTTCGAGCAACGCTAAATAATACAGTGATGTTTCTATGAGAATTTTTTTCTTTTACCTAGCACATCAATCAGCTCTGCACTCAGCAAACCTGGATATGGTGAGAGGACTCTAATCGCAGAAAGTTCATTTTGCAAATCAGCCGTCAGGGGACCGGCCATGATCGACGAGGCGGCTGGCGATTGAAAGTCCGGATTGCAGTCGGGTTTTCGCTAAACTTGTTCCTTGTGGCTCTGTCGAGCTCGTGAAGATTTCCGGCGGGACTAATGGTGGTCGGGGCTGATGACGAGAGGGTGGTCCATGGCTATCTGGGGGAGATGGTAGTGTGTCTGGGCTTCAACTGTTTTCATAGGAAAATTTGCAAAGTTGGTCCACTGAATTGCAAACTTTATTATAGGGCCGATCATGAGACTTAGAGAATTCTGAACCGTACTGAAAATCGAACTGAAATCACTCCGAACCAAAAAATATCCGTTGACCGTTTGACTTTCTCCGAACCGAACCGAACCAAAAAATTAATTGGTACGGTTCTGGAGATTTCATAAATATTCTTACCGAGAATCGAACCGAAAAACCGAAATTAAGAACCGAATTATAAAAATAGATGCGTGTTATTAATATATTTGATGTCAACTTTAATCCTATATAATTTGAGAATTTTTAAAATGCAAATAAAATATAGTAATAACAACTAAGATTCACTTACATTTCATGTTTAGTAATACTTGATCTACAATTGAATTTCTCATGTTCACAAAAAAATAAATGGAATGAAAGGTTAAAGATTTAAAAAAAAAAAAAATTAAGCTTTACTTAAAGTTGTCGATACTTACCCTTAGTTTATCTTATAACTAACATGGTATGGAAGGTTAAATAAATATTACTTTAATATAAAACTGTATTATATTTTGTTCGAATTTAAATTTTCAATGTTAGTTGAATTTAGTCTTAACTAAAATTTAGAGTTACTTCTAAATTTAAACATAAATTCGTTAGTATGATGAAGTATTGATGAAGGTTGGATTTAAAAAAAAAACATATAAAAAATAAATATAACTAGGTGGTCATGCAAAAAAATTTAAAAAATGATAAGAAATCTCCGGATATCCGAACCGAACCAAACCGAGTCGAACCGTTCCGATAGTCTCGAAAACCGAACCGAACCGAAAAATAAAAATCTCCGAACCGGACCGAACCGATTTTTTGGTACGGTTCTGGAGATCAAATTTTAGTGATCTCCGAACTTCGGTTCGGTTCTGGAGATTTATCAATCTCCGAACTGTACCGACCCATGCTCACCCCTACTTTATTATAACTCAATACCTTTTGCACGGATTCGGGGGCTCTGCAGTGCCCATTTAAACCGTAGGCATCTGCTGTGCAGTATGGGCCGTTGGATGTAATTAAAAGACATCTGACGGCCAAAAGTTTTATTCACAATACAATTACATTAAAGAAAAAAAAAAAAGAAAAAATTGAAACGCAAGGCTGGTGAAGTAGACTACGACCCTGTCTTCTGCGCCCGGAAGTTGGACAATAGGAGACGCAATCTTGGCATCCGCGCTCTGATAATCCTTCAACGCCGGTTCGTGAGCTTTGGCGGATTTTGTCATTAGTTTTGGTTATCTGCCTTAAGTGTTCTCTTTTTGTCATTTTCTCTTAGCTTCCTAGTAGGTTCTCCGCGGTCTTCCTTGAAAAATTTCATGCTACCCTAAAGGCACTGTCACCTTAGTGTTTTGGCCATTGATTTCACACACATTCATGTAGATGTGTGTATATATGTGTGTATACCAATGGCCCACAGGGCATGTAGGTAGCATCGAATTAGTCGTCCTCCTTTTTTATGCGCTTGTGTTCCTCTGGTTGGGAATTTCTTTTTGTTCCTCTTATCAACAGACAAGTGTTTGGTTGATTGAGGAGTTTTTAACTATGGAATACCATTTGGAGTTGGAGTTAGAGGAGAAACTAAAAAGTTTCAATTGTCGGAAGAAGATGTCTGGAGATAAGAAAGCCAACTTTACTGGTCTACAAAAAACCCTATCGACAATTTGGCAGACGAGAGGTATGTTTGATATGAAGGAACAGGGATTCAACCACTTCTTTAGATACTGTTTTGTTGATTGGATCCAATTAGAGACCTAATATGTTTTGTTGTACTTTGTCATTGTAGACTAGGTTATATCGATGACCGCCTTCTTTAGGTACTGTTTTGTGGCTAATTACCAGAAACGCCTTTACATCCCGTAACGGAGCTGACTTTATACGTGACATCTCATCCAATATTTCGGGGTTGGAAGACTAGGTTTTTCTATGTGTGACCTGGCTCCCCCTTTCGTTTCCATTTTACCTGGTTAACTAATCTGCCTCTTAAGCTTGTGCTTCCTCTACCAAACCCATTTTTCGACCTGATGATCCAATCATGGAATGTCTTTCCCATCAATTCTACTACGATAACAGATAATCAACGCTTTTTTTTGCACTGCGGTCTTGCTAAAGGATCTTTTCCCCCTCTGACTGATCTTGAACTTGGTAGGAACATACTTAAATAATTATTACTATATGAATTTTTTTTTCTTGTGACCTGAATTGATTGTTTGTTTTGTGCATAGAATATGCTCAAGTCCATGAAGTCGACTTCTTCCACCTTCAGTGGTAAGGGAAAATTTCTCTTGACCTCTACTTGACCTGATGAAACAGACGACCAAGCCAAGAACACCTGCAGCACCTCCTCCCCCTCACCAGATGATACTGGTAAGAAAAAATCGAGCTCAACACCTGTAGTTGGGGGCTCGAACGTGCCCCACTTATTAGCGACTAATCTAGATGGAGAGGCAATCACCTCCTACCTTATGAAGGTCCTTCTTTATGAAGAGACCACACATTTGGGGACCAATGAGAGATGTCGCACTGAGTATGAAGCTAAATCTGCTGCCCAAGTACATCCTTCTTTTCAAATTATCTTCTTACTTCTTTTTGTTTTACAGCTCTTATTCGCGTTGGTTCCTCTACTTGACGAGCAGTTTCGTCGCTCTTCTTCCTCTTACAGGGACCTCATGGCCGATGTAAAAGACATGAAGAAAGAAAATGACCAAGTGACAAAGAACAATTTTGACTTGAAAAAGCAACTCGCCAAGGTCTCATTGAAATATGACGTTGCTCTTAGGGAGAAACATAGACAAATGGAGGAGGAGATGCAAAGTGCAAGCAATGCAAGTCAGATGATAGGTCGCCAATACTTCCTCACATCTTGGGTGAGGGTGGAGCTTTTGTGGAGGCCTTTTGCAAAAAGATCGTGGAGGACTTCTGCAAGTCTCTGAGCTTCCTTCAAAAGCTTGCTCCAGCCACTTTTGAATATTGGAGAGGAATCTGGTTGTTCTTAAGTTGGGGCAGCAACAACTTCTGTAGCTTTCTCCATTGTTGTGTGTGAGAGAGAGAGATTTCCTTTTGATCTGGGCAGGGTAAGGATAAGGTTTTACAATAAAAAAATATATTTTCTTTTAATGAAATTGATAGGTTGGCTCTTGGCTCGTCTAGCCCGGCCGGCCAACACTCACAGCCAACGTGGACCAATCTGTTTAGGACCGCTCTTTGGCGAGCCTTTTAAAATAGCATCCCAACCCTCCTATTAGGCGGGGCGGGGCAACGCGGCCAGCGGGCCCAGGCCCATTTTGACATGCCTACCTCAAGGTCGATATAAACGCCCGACACCTTACTACATCAGTATATTCATGTTAAATGGCTATGTTTAAAAAGCTCCTCAGATGTCGAGACGGGTCAGAAGACCCATCATATGTGATAGTAAGCTCTCAGAACTCAGTTGGTAGGTCAGCGTCCAATATTTCCTCGACAAAAGAATGCCCTCGAGCTCTACCTGCTTGCTTTTCCTCCACCTTGGCCTGCAACTCTCGGATCTGTGTTGCCATTCTCTTCACATCCAGGTCATGCTGAGCTCCAAAGGTCGAGGTGCTTGAAGTCTCGACCTCCTCCTTTTTAGTCGTCGCAGTAGGGTTTACTGCGATTGACAACTGCGACTGAGCACACCTAGAGGCGACGACCCCCGCAATCATCTTGTTGAGCTCTTCTCTCGTGAGACTGACAACCTGTTGGCCTGCTGGTGCAACTTTGGTTGCTGGTGGTTCCATCTCGTCGACCTGGAGGGGAACTGGCTGCACAAAGGGTGCTTAAATGACCTCCATGCCTCTGCTCCCCAACTGGCTATTCGGACCTCCGACAACTACTGGGGAAGCTGACGAGCCCCCTAGACCCAAGGGATTGTTCATCGAGGTCATCAGTGTTGGGATTGACCTCGAACAACGCATTGGTGAGCCTGTTCCTGACGGACAATTAGAGACCACCACATTATCGAAGGTAGACTCCAAATTCCGTTGGGGATTTTCATTCGCCATGGCTATGGTGTTTTTATGGCTTTTTGAACAGAAGTTCCCAAATACGGCGCCAAATGGTAGTGCAAACGATATCAACCTGCTCGAATGACCTTGGATTTCTCTCGACTGGTTCAAAGACATGCAGAACAGCGTCGAGAGTTGTCCCGACATAGAAGATCTGACGCTCAAGTCAGTAACAACCATGAAAAATATGATGAACAGTATGAATTGCATACAGCTTGTAAGTATATTAAAGTGTATAGAGTGGAAACAATTATACCTCACTCTTTTATATAGAGGTGTTACCTTACTGCCCGAATGGGCTACCCTAGTGCATGAGCTACCCGATTGTACTGCCCGGGTACCCAAACTATCCAATTCGATTAGCTCACTTGGTCTCACCCACGTATCCTTCTTATCTATTACGTAGTACATTCCCATTAGACTACCTCATTCGGTGGTCTAATTATGCTACCAGCTTGAATCCCTTTGAGCCAGGTTGTTTTGACCTTCAACGGATAAGCCTATCACTTAGGTCGTACATCAACCTTCATACAGTCATGTCGGGCTAGTTAAGAGCTCTATCTTGACATGTTGGCATGCTCTCTTAATTTTGAAATCACCATCGACCTGGTGGTTCTTTGACCTCTGGCGTCCTTGATGTCTGGTCGACCTGCCAACTCACCTGATCTGGCCGTATTGGTCTTAGGTCGCGCTTGACCTAATATGTTGGTGTGACATCCCATATTATATTCGTTCAATATGTTGGTAAAATTGTATTTTTGGGTCAAACTCCGACTTCAACAGCGTTCCGGATGAAAAGTGAAGTGTGAATAATCTTATGGATGAAAAGGAAAGAGTGGGAAATTTAAATGAAGGAGAGACAAAATTATAGCAAGAGTTAAACTGTAACTAGTTTGAATTAACATGGGGCTGATTTGTCATTCCAAAAAACAGAACCCCTCATTTGGACGGTCCGAACCCGGTCCTGATGGTCAAAACTCGGTCAGTTGACAACTTCAGGTTTGATCTTGTCAAAAAGCGTTCCCCGACTGTATGTAAAAAGAGCTCGTTCGAAGCCATTTTCCGATCGAATTAGAAGAAAATCAGATCTCCTTCTCATTTGAGTGGATCGGAGCTCGCTCGAGATCGTAACCATGCCCGTAGCAGCTTCTGCAATCTACTTTCTCAATCTTCGTGGCGATGTACTCATCAATCGCCTCTATCGTGACGACGTCGGGTTAGTCCCCCTTTGTTGTTTTTGTTCCTCTTTCTGAATATGCGTCTGTTTCTCTATAATCCTTTGTCTCCAGATGGAATTGAGCACTGATTTGTGGTGTGAAGAGTTTCTATTGCGTAATTTAAACTTTTGCTGTTCTCTCTTGCTCTCTCTGTGGTTATGTTGTTTGGTTACTCGTTTGATGGAAGAAAATGTGGGATTACATGGTTGAGAGAAGTAAATCTAGGTCACTTGTGGTGATTGGGACTTTGACATTGGATGAGAAGCAGATGGATTGTGAATCCATTGACGGATGGTTTTGGAGTTCAAGGGTTTATTAGATTTTAGAGGTAGAATGAAAGATTTGAGTTCCCTAACTTTGGTGTCATCTTGATTTTAAAAAAAGACAATCGGTTGTTTTTGTTGTTTGTAGCTAACAACATATCAAAGGGAAGAGTAAGAACTCTGCAGTCCATCTCATTCATAGCATAGACCGGCTTTGGATCTCTAGTGTCATCCCAAATATAGATGTGAATATGGCATAAGTAGCCCAGAGCCACATATATCAGCCGTTCAAAGCTATTTCGACGCTGCACATAATTTTGCACATTCTCATATACATTATTTATAAAAATTGAAGGGGGCTCCACGATCATTAAGTTCCTATCTTCCCTATGCCAGTTAGAGGGTGTACAGTGGGACGTGGATTAAAATCCACGGCAGAAGTTAGCAGAATACTCGTATTACTTTAGTATAAAAAGTTATTTTGAAACATGTTATTTCATGTATCAAAGTAGTCTTGTAATGATGACTTCTGTATTGTTCTGCTGGAGAACAAATCCTAGCTCTTGTCTAAGTGCTAGTTATTGTGCCAACTGTCAGCATGTAAAAAAGGCATCTACATGTTCAAATGTTGGCGTTTATGGCATTTCCAGACCTTCGTAATACCACAATTCAAATCATTCCACCATTGCCCTGAACTCAAGACACCATGGTGAATTGATTTACCACTTGCAAAAGTTCTTTTCAGCACATGGTAATCCCAAACATGTCAATTTTTTTATCATCGTTAATCTACATAATTATGGTTGTTCCAGGCTTCTGAAACTTAGAGCGCCGTTACACTGTAATGCATGTTTCTGCCTAAGTGGAGATTTGGCTTCTCGTTCACTTTCAAACATTTTTGATAAGATTGGTGATTGAAAGTGCTCCCGATGTTTTTTTTTTTTTTTNTTTTTCTCGAGTTACTCGTTACCAATATGAAGTTTGCAAGTCAAGATTTTATTTTTTTTTGTTTTTCTCTCTTTTTGGTCTCAAGGAGCATTCGTTTGCTAATTTGGTAATGCATATCTTTGGCACTTGAACACTCAAAGTTTTTTCCAAATCTTTTGGTGTCACATCTCACTTTGTAGTTGGTATATGGAACTAGATGACTTTGACAGTAGACTTGGGGATATCATATTTGTTTTAGATTTTGGTTTTGTATTTTGATTGTGGAGTTATGATGCAAATTTTTTAAAGAATTCCATTTCTTTCTGTTTTCTTAAGTTCATTCAACTGGGAACAAATTGAACAGAACGAAAAATTTTCATTCAGCAATTGAGCTGAAGTGAATAAATAACTTTGGTGATCACTAGCGATATTTGGGCAATCGAACTTTCGGTTGGTCGGGTCGGTTTGGACCCAATATATGTATAACCCGTAGAGAACTAAGTCTGTGGTAATTTATTCGAATGCCTTTGCCCTCTTAATGTGATTACTGTTTATTTAATATATATATATATATATATATATATATTTTAATTTCTTAACTGTTGCTGATCATTATGTTTAAGTTAATCAGAAATTTTACTGCATAGCAGCAATCTAATGTCGTAAGGCTGATTTCTAATCCATTCTTAATCTGGATAAGCAGTGGCAACATGGTAGATGCTTTCCGAGTGCATATAATGCAAACAAAGGAACTTGGCACTTGTCCTGTGCGGCAGATTGGGGGATGCTCTTTCTTTTACATGAGAATCAGCAATGTTTACATTGTAATTGTTGTTAGCAGCAATGCAAATGTTGCTTGTGCCTTCAAGTTTGTTGTTGAGGTATCTCGTACATAAGATGATTTAGAACTGTGCCTTTATGACCTAGAGTTAGATCGCAAAGGTTTTTTTCTCGAGATTTCATTTTGCATAAAATATATTTTTGTCTAAGGAAATAGTGAAAACTGAATACAACTTATGATAAGTAGCATCTGACAGTTAATATAGTTCATCTCGGGTTTTTCCTCATTTATTGGTTCTAATTGTTGTAAATAACCATAATTTTAGCTATTACCAAAATCTGACACCATGTGTTTTGTGTGACCTTTTGTGACTCTGAAGTTTATGTTAATGCGATTCAGATTATTTTATTAGATGTTGCTTTCAATGTATTTGACATGTTAATCTTATTCTTTTGCAGGCAGTCACATTATTTAAATCTTATTTTGGTGGAGCTTTTGATGAGGATGCTATACGCAATAACTTTGTTTTGATTTATGAACTGTTGGATGGTACGGCGAGTAAAGATATTCTCTTGTTTGCAATTCGTTTCCCATTGTATAAGTCCTATATTCACTGAAATTCTACATGTTGGCAAAATATGGCCTCTAATTCAAATGGATAGTTTATTGCCTTGAAAAATGAAATAAAAGTTTGATCTCCAACTAATGTTTTTTTGGGGGGTGGAGTGGATGCCCTATGTTTTATTGGTATAGAAACTGCAAACATTTTAAAAGTCTTCTTTTTTGAATTAGCCAATGTTATGTGCTCGGGAGCTTGATTTGTTTCAGCGTGGTTTTGGGGACTTGCACCACTCCTGGAGTGGGTGGCTGTGGACAATTCAAAAAATTGAAGTATTTAACATAATCATTGAGCCAAAATGACTGAATGACTGGAAAAAGAGTTTCTAATTTTTTCCCTCAAATACAGAAATCATGGATTTTGGGTACCCTCAAAACCTCTCCCCCGAAATCTTGAAGCTTTACATAACTCAGGAAGGTGTACGCTCTCCATTTTCATCAAAGGTTGGACTTTAAAGACTATTGCAATCTTCTATAGTTATGGAAACATTTATGTTGAAGATGTATATCTTGTGTATATATACAAAAGTTCAATTATTAAATAACTCTCATGGGTGGATTATCCTGACCTTTGTCATGTGTGATGCCGGAACAGGCTGCTGACAAACCAGTTCCAAATGCAACTTTACAAGTTACTGGTGCTGTTGGATGGCGCAGGGAAGGCCTCGTGTATAAGAAAAATGAGGTTGTATCTTCTAATAACCTCTTTATTGTCTAATATCTTTTGTTACTGCAGTAAGGTGAAACTAAATTTGATTTCTTGTTAGGTCTTTCTTGATATTGTGGAAAGTGTCAATCTTCTCATGTCTTCGAAAGGTAAACTGAATCATTTTCCTGAAAGTATTTGCTTATTATTATTATTAAAATGAAAGTATTATTATTATTATTATTATTATTATTATTATTATTATTATTATTATTAGTATTATCTGTTACAATTTTCTGACCAATTTGTTGTGTATTATCTTGATGAGTCATCTCAAAGTCTGTTGTCTATATGCCATTTTTCTTATGTAGGTAGTGTTCTACGCTGCGATGTAACTGGGAAGATCCTTATGAAATGCTTCCTTTCTGGGATGCCCGACTTGAAGTTGGGATTAAATGATAAAATTGGGCTTGAGAAAGAGTCGCAACTTAAATCCCGTCCTGCTAAGAGGTAACTAGAATTTCATACGCTAGTTGCATAGATTACAACCCACAAACTGGATGGAAAAAAATAAATTTTAATGAAATGACATGCCAAATGTATCATCTAGTTGTACCTAGCTGAGAAGAATAACACAAGCCAAGTTTACTAATTGTAAATTTATGCATGTGAACTTCGAGGACAAGACGTATCTCATGTAACAGTTCTCTTAATTTGCATGTGGACTGTCCAGAGCCTTGCCTGGGGTTATAGATAGTGTCTGATTGCTTATGATTTATTTATTTATATTGAATTTTCTAATTTTTTTTCTCAACTTTTAACATATTATATTTTGAAATTTTAAAAGGACATACTGTCCTCGCTTGACTTTCCAGTTACTAGTCTCATCCAGTTATTGTAAGAATGAACATCACATCAACAATTAACATTATAATTCATAACTATACTGTCGCCAGTCGATGATAAGATGTGTTGTGAAGAAAATGCATTTGTAAGGGTAGTTAGGGCGAAAAAAAAAAAGAAAAAAGGGTAGTTAGGGAAGTTGTCCAGTTAATTTGTGCTTGTTTGGGAGCACTTCCACAAAAGTCCATTTAATAAATGAACTTTTCAAGAAGTCTATATTACTTTCTTCATGACCTTGTTTTTGTATGTTTTATTTTCTCAGTGGGAAAACTATTGAGCTTGATGATGTCACTTTCCATCAATGTGTAAACCTTACAAGATTCAATTCAGAGAAGACCGTCAGCTTTGTTCCTCCTGATGGTGAATTTGAATTGATGAAGTAAGCTAATTTAAATATACTTTGCTGTCAATTTTTCACTTTATGTTCAGTACATAGCTTTACCTTGTTTTGATAGTCTTTTTCTTTACCCTATGAAAAACTTAAATTCTACTTCGATTTCCAAATATGTTGTATGAAAGGTCATATTAATTTAAGTAGATCATATTTAGGATCACAGGAAATAATTTGCACTGGTTCCTTTAATAGTTCTAACATCCCCTAACTAGGAATCTTTTGGCTAATAAAGTACTGCCACAATGTAAGTAATCTTAAAACGCTATTTCTAGTATCTAAATCTAGAAGTTTTTTGTGCGCAATTCTTTTAGTGTCTCTAACAAGCTTATTGCTTGTGTAACCTCCAGGGCTTTAACAGTACTTAATCTGGAGAACAAAAGGAGTTCCTGTTTAAGTTCTTATTATATTCATAGACTCTTTAATTTTCTTCATACTTCTTCTCTTTTCTTTGTAGCAAGCAGGTTACTCTTAATTTCCATTTGCTTTATTAACTGTTAAGGATTTTACTACAGGTACCGTATTACAGAGGGGGTTAATCTTCCATTTCGTGTTCTTCCGACTATCAAGGAATTGGGCCGAACACGAATGGAAGTGAATGTTAAGGTTAGTCATCAATTCTTTGTTTTATTCTTGGCAACTACTAGCCACTTTCCTGACTCATATTCTTTACATTTTAGGTGAAGAGTGTTTTTGGGGCAAAAATGTTTGCACTAGGTGTGGTTGTTAAGATACCAGTACCCAAGCAAACAGCAAAAACAAGTTTTCAGGTGACATCAGGCCGAGCAAAGTACAGTCCTTCTATTGACTGTTTGGTTTGGAAGTAAGTTATTTATTTGTCTCATGAACGTTTTATGTTTATTCTCTCATTGGAATTATGAATTTGAAGCATATGTACAATCATATGAATAAGTATGACATTTAGCAAATCGCCATTATACGCACTATTCTAAATCTCCGAGCAACCTAGGCATGTCTTCAGAATTTTGACTGGAAGTTTCATTGAGACAATATTCAAACGTAATACTGAACGCAAAATAAGTTGCGACCTCCTTCTGACTTAATTCACTTATTCTGTACACAATTCTGTTTGGTTAAAGGAAAAACCCCAATGATAATATCTATTTCGTATTATGTGCATCCATTTGGCACATGGGCTTTAATACGCGAGGCATCTGTTCTTTTTGTGACATTTACATTTGCCAATAATTTGTGTTGTCCACTTCTCACATGATAATTTTAAAAGTAGGGTAGAATTTAGTGTTTTTATTGATGAAGTTCAAGAAAAAGGAAAAATATCTTAATAAATGAAAACACATTCATGATTGGTCTTCGGAATTTGGTATTTCATAGTAATACAAAATGGCACGAGGCACAGATTGGTTTGAGCTTCAGCCCAACTATGTGCTAAAGAAGAAGACTACTACAAGTTAGAAAGAGGGGTTTTTTTTTTTTTTTTTAAAAACCGAAGGTGGTCGCCTTTGGAATATGAGTAGGGCTCATCCATTGCTTTTATTCATGTTGTCCTAGTTAGGTGTGTGGATACTAGTGCCCCACATTTTCTTCCCATTAGTAGTAGCGTATTTAGGCGGTTTGAGACTTGGAATGAACTGTGATGTGTACTGTAATTTTGTTGCAGTCATGGAGGACAGAAGCCGTAAATGGTTTCTGTAATTTCACTGCAGAACCACAGATGACCAACATTGATAGATGTAGAAACAGAATTTTCTAATATTTGTTTAATCAACATCTTCTATTACTAATTATGCTTTATTAAGCGTAAATTTTTGTTAATATTGTTACCAGACGTGAATTGATATAGGCTTGAAGCGATTTGTTAAGTTACTATCCATATCCATTAATAAGTTTGATCATGGCAATGGTGCTTGCTTTGCTAGGATAAGAAAATTTCCTGGACAAACTGAACCAACATTGAGTGCTGAAGTAGAGCTAATATCAACAATGACCGAGAAGAAGTCGTGGACTCGGCCTCCGATTCAGATGGAATTTCAGGTGCCTAAGCAAGTGATATCTCCAACATCATATGATTATTCAATTTGTTGCATAGCATTGTTTTCAAGTGTATTATCTTAAAGTTACATATAATGGCGTGCAGTTGATATCTTTTAAGTTATTTAATAACTATCTCGTGCTTGAAGGTGCGTCTTAAGAGCTGTTTGTTCCTATAGAAGAAGACTTTGCTAAAAATAATCAAGAGTGAAATCAATTACAAATTCACCTTTCTTTCGAAAAGTTTCTTTGAAATAGAAATTATGTCGGGCATCAGAACAAACTGATGTGCAGTCATCTAAGCTTGTGTGTTGGATTTTGCGCACTTGTGAGAGAAATAGAAAACATGCTAGAGTCATTGTACACAATTTACAATATTTTGTCACCATAGGGCTCTTAGGAGTTTGACCCATGAATGGGCTGATGTTTTTTATTTATTTTTTAATATTTATTTATTTATTTTATTGTTTCCTGCCTCACAAACCGAATACATCTACTGCAGGTTCCCATGTTTACTGCATCTGGATTGCGTGTTCGTTTCCTCAAGGTATTTTTACAGTCTTCATGTATTCATCTTTTATCTTTTACCAATTGTTGTACATTTGCACTAATCAGCAAGTAAAATCTGCAGGTATGGGAAAAGAGTGGATACAATACTGTGGAATGGGTTCGTTACATCACAAAAGCTGGTTCCTATGAAGTTAGGTGCTAAAATACAACTGTTGTGTGTGCCTTAATTCATGGCTTTTTTGGGGTCGACACAAATTGCCTACATGAGTAGCACTTGGAATCTCCATCCAACTACAAGATGTATTTGATATACAAAACTTACGAGATTGATGTTTATGGCAGCGCAGTTGATACACTCACAAATTCTACAATTTTCCGGAACTTTCTTGTATAGTGTAGATCTTCTTGCTTAGGATTTGCCGAGTGTGAGCTTACGTCATATTTTCTATTATGTGTTGGCACCTATTTGCGCGATGATTCATGTTTGCGTGGGAAAATATTGTGTTTTTTTTTTTATTATGAGAATAGTTTAAATGATTGGGAGATCTCCATCTATGTTGTATTGTTTGCTGCAAAATGTTGTACATTTACGGTTTACCTTCTTTCTGGATCATACCTTATATTGATGTTTTTCGTTGATACAGATGTTCTTTTGTTTTTTGTGAAAAGAAAAAAAGTAGTACGAGGCTGTGTTGGTTCATAATAGGTTTAGTATTTAAATGAGTGATAATATAATTTTACTATGTACTAATGTATAATTCTATAACAAATAAAAAAATCTAGTAACTTCATAAAATATTTAAACAATAAAACCAAGTTGCCTTTTCTATTCACTTGATTTTTTATGGGTAGTTTTCCTAACTCGAATTTTTTTTATCTAGACTTGCTCGACCCTTTCATACGAGCGATTCTCCTAGCTAGCTACCATGTCCGAGTGTATTTATATATACGTACCAAAACGTACTTCTATTATATTTTATTTTTCCTAATCATGTTTCACTTATTTTGTCTGTACTGTACGTTACACCAATGTGTTTAAGATCGTATAAATACCACGAGCGCCGTCAAACTCACATGTATGCATGTATAAACAATTACACATTAGATGCATGTACCACTGACACCATTATTGTTGCTAACTTTTTTTTCTTTCTTTCTTTCTTCTTTCTTTCTTTTTTTGTCCTACTAATTTATTTTTGTTTCATTTTGGTTGACTCAGGACATATTAGAGTGATTTTGTGAATATTATATTTTTGGTATAGATAGATTTTAGTATCTTAGAGATTTGGTATATTATTTTAGGGCTTCAGTTGCATCTATATATTGGGGACTCTGGTAAATGGATGAAATCAAGTTTTTGGGTGAATGAATTGATTTTCACATATTTGTCAAGGTATCAGAGACCGAGTAATTTTTTTCTCCGATTCTAAGTCTCGATCAATTGAGACTCTTAATTTTTCTCTCTTTCGGGTGAAACTCATAAACCTTTCTCCTTCGGCTACTCTCAATCAATCNGTTAGTTGCCAAAAAAAAAAAGTTATATATTTTTCTGGAGTTGTTGCCGCAGCAAAAAAAAAAGTTGCCAGTGCAGTGAGAATTATGGGGAAACCGAGGAATGGAGGAACCGCGGCTCAAGCCGGGAGATTAGCTGGTGGAGGCGGACGCGATGATGGACCAGCCGCCGCCGGCCTTGTCAACGCTGCCTTCGGTAACGAAGCTGCACTTAGTACCTCTGACTCCATACATGACGGGTCAACATCCTCATTGACGGACTCCGATAGGGCGGCTATTTCGTTGACTGATGCCCAATGAGAGTCTATTGTACACCTCGTCACTTTTGTACGCAACAACTCCTTTGTCCGGTAAGAGTAGTCCTTATGAGTGGATGTATGATAGTGGTGCTTCACATCATATGGCGGGCTACATGGAATTTTTTTTCTTATATTCGGGATATTTCGTCCCGGTCTGTGCAATTACCTAATGGCACGCTCACCACTGCGTGTAAAGCTGGAACTTTTCATCTCGGTTCTCGTATTATTTTATATGATGTTTTGTTCGTTGACAGTCTTCAGTGCAGTTTGATATCTTTATCTTGATTGTTGGAACAATCTGGTTGTGTTGCTACATTCAGTAGTAAATATTGTGCTATTCAGGACCTCACTTCGAGGACAGTAATTGGAGCAGGTGAACAGTTGGGAGGACTCTATTTTTTTCGAGGGGCAATCACTGCCAATGTTTCTCGGGTGTCTTCAGTTATGCAGCACTTGTGGCACCAACGGATGAGTCATCCATCTTCTACTGTTCTTGGTCAATGGCCTATTGTCGAGTCTCCCTCCTTGGTCTCGAATAAAGCTTGTGATGTTTGTTGTCTGGCGAAGCAATCTCGTGCTAGCTTTCCTCTTAGTCGCAGTATTAGCAGTTCCATTTTCAGTCTGATTTATTGTGATGTGTGGGGACCTTATAGAGTTCCTGCCTTTAGTGGTGCTCGATATTTTTTTACTATTGTTGACGCCTATTCTCGAGGTACTTGGATTTTCTTATTGGATGACAAATCTTCGGTATCTTCTACTCTACTGCAATTTTTTGCTTTTGTAAAAAGGCAATTTGGTGTGTTGGTTAAAACTCTTCGCAGTGACAATGGGACTGAATTTACTCGTATGCGCAATTATTTCCATCAACAAGGGATTGTTCATGAAACTTCTTGTGTCGGAACTCCTCAACAAAATGGATGTGCTGAGCGCAAACATCAGCACATTCTTAATGTTGCTCGAGCATTACGCTTTCAGGCCCATTTACCGATTGAGTTTTGAGGACATTGTGTACTTGCTGCTGGCTATTTAATTAATCGAACGCCTACTCCTCTTTTATCCGACAAGACTCCCTATGAACTTTTGTATGGCGAACCTCCCAGCTATGCGCATTTACGTGTTTTTGGCTGTTTGTGTTACGTGCACAATCAGAATAGGGATGGTGACAAGTTTGCAAGTCGGAGTCGTCGATGTGTTTTTGTTGGCTATCCATCTGGTCAAAAGAGGTGGTGTGTTTATGATTTGGACAACCACATTTTTCTGGTCTCACGTGATGTGAAATTCTGTGAATCAGAGTTCCCTTATTTGACGTCTATTGCTTTTGATACTGCCTCCGCACCTTTGGTTCCATGGCCTGCTGTTTCTGACGACGTTGATGATGTGGTGGTTCCCACTACAACGCGCACCGCTGTCACTGGGGGGTTCTGAGGTCATTGTCGATAGGGGGGATGATCCTCCCCAAGAGGAAGTGCTGGGTTGCGGTCATCGTCTCAAGAGGCCCTCTTCCCGTCTTGCCGACTTTGTCTCTCACACTGTTTGTTTCTCATCTCCCCACTCTGCCTCCTCCATCGCATCATCATCTGGTACTCCTTATCCTCTTGCACACTATGTTTCTTGTGATTCATTTTCACCTGCACATCAGTCATTTCTGGCAGCCATTTCTTCTACTATTGAGCCTCAGACCTTTTCTGAGGCTGATCGAGATAGTCGCTGGTGTTCGGCTATGCAACTGGAGATTCGATCATTGGAATCGACCCGTACGTGGGTTATTGTTTCTCTTCCTACTGGGAAACACGCGATTGGTTGCAAGTGGATTTATAAGATTAAACATAACTCTGATGGTTCTGTTGAGCGCTACAAGGCGCGTTTGGTTGCCTTGGGTAACCGGCAGGTGGAGGGCATTGACTATCAGGAGACATTTGCACCTGTTGCCAAGATGGTTACTGTACGGACTTTCCTTGCTGTAGCAGCTGCTCGACATTGGGAGGTTCATCAGATGGACGTGCACAATGCGTTCTTGCATGGGGATCTGTCTGAGGAAGTTTACATGAAACTTCCTCCTGGTTTTCATTCATCTGATCCTGGTAAGGTGTGTCGATTACGCCGATCTCTATATGGTTTAAAGCAAGCTCCTCGCTGTTGGTTTGCAAAGCTTGCTACTGCTCTTAAACATTATGGTTTTGAGCAGTCTTATTCTGATTACTCACTTTTCACTCTACATTGAGATTCTATGTACTTGCATGTCCTAGTTTATGTCGATGATCTCATCATTTCTGGAAGCGATCCGGCTGCTATTACTGCCTTTAAGGAGTATTTGGGTCGTTGTTTTCATATGAAGGATTTGGGAGTCTTGAAGTATTTTTTGGGCATCGAGTTTGCTCGGAATTCCTCTGGCATATTTATGTGTCAGCGAAAATATACTCTTGACATAGTAGTCGAAGCTGGCTTACTTGGTGGCAAGCCTGCTGATTTTTCTATGGAGCAAAATCACCAACTTCCATTGGCCGATGGTCCGTTGTTCTCTGATCCTGAGCGATATCGGCAGCTAGTGGGCCGTTTAATTTATTTAGTTGTCACTCGTCCCGACTTGTCTTATGTTGTGCATATGCTCTCTCAGTTTATGCATCAGTCTCGTTAGGCACACTGGGATGCCGCCACTTGTGTGGTACGTTATTTGAAAGGTACTCCGGGTCAGGGTATTGTTCTTCGGTCTGATTGTGACTTACAGGTCTATGGTTGGTGTGACTCTGATTGGGCAACATGCCCTACTACTCGACGGTCTCTCACTGGTTGGTTCGTCCAACTTGGCCATTCTCCAATATCATGGCGTACTAAAAAGCAACACACGGTTGCTCGCTCTTCTACCGAGGCTGAGTATCGTGCTATGGCGACGCTTACTTGTATGGTTACGGGGTTTACTTTGCAGTCTTGGTGTGGCTCATTCTCAGCCAATGCAGATTCATTGTGATAGTCAAGCGGCGCTACACATTGCCGCTAATCCTGTCTTTCATGAGCGCACCAAACACATTGAAGTTGACTGTCATTTTCTTCGTGATGCTCTTGTTCAAGGTCTCATTTCTACCGCTCATGTTTCTACTCATTCTCAATTAGCGGACATCTTCACCAAGGCCTTGGGAAACCGCGAGTTTAATTTTTTTCTTGGCAAGTTAGAGTGATTTTGTAAATATTATATTTTTGGTATAGATAGATTTTATTATCTTAGAGATTTGGTATATATTATTTTAGGGCTTCAGTTGTATCTATATATTGGGGACTCTGGTAAATGGATGAAAACAAGTTTTTGAGTGAATGAATTGATTTTCACATATATTTCAGGACATGTTAACGATATAGAACCTTGGTTGCATTATTGCATATGCATTGCTCAAATTTTGGTCTTAACAGTACAAAATAATGGGTGGTCATATATATATTGGGTTGTTTACATAATTTCATTTGTAACGTATTCGGTATGAGTTGACAATTTTTAACACTCTAAATGTTTTGCACGCTATAGAAGTATATATATGTATATCGTTCAGACTACATAAGTTATGGTTTTGAACTGGAGCTACAAATGAGCCGATTGAGTTTAAACTCCTACAGTTTTACTATGGAGCCATCGGATGGCTCAACTATTGAACAATTAGTTTCATTTAACATTCCTATTTGCAAATTGACTTAGAACTAACATGAAACAGTATATTAATTTGTTTGACGTATCTCAATACCATTGTAATAGTTCAAATGGGCAGTAAAATTTTACCTAATTAGATTATTATCTGTGTAGGTGGCAACGAGCACTAGGCTTCATTGCCCAAAACTTACCCATGAATAATCAATCTTCATTATCAATATTATTAATTTAT